GTGAAATTCAATCCAGTGGTTGGTGCCTGCATCGAGTGCATGTTCTGCAATCGCTGATTTGCTCGTCTGTCGGTTCTTCACAGCAGCGATATGCTCTTTGACCCTTTCTGCAATAGTCCGCTTAGTTTGGCCTATGTATGAGCTTCCGCAGCTGCAGTCTATTTTATAAACACCCGGAGTTTGTAGTGGCAATGTATCCTTCGGTGTGCCGACGATGTTGTGAACCTTTATGCCTGGTGTGTATACTGTCGGAATGGAATATTTCTTTAGTACAGACCCGATCTTGTCCGTAACTCCCTTGACATAAGGCATATAGGCCGGTTGCCTGTTCACTTCTGGATATTTGCGTCTTATTTTCGGTTGCTTCCGTCCTCCTTTCACTTGATATCCGTTACCTTTGAGTACCTCCTGAACATGTTTTAGCTCCTGTTCTAAATGTTCAGGGTCACAGAGATCGTAAGCTCTGTTTTTGAGTGAAGTCATAACAGATTGCAAGTGCCGGGGGTGATGATGAGACGTGGCGTGTAGGTATCTGTCCGTATGAGTAGGTTTACGGTACACACAGTGTGACAAGGACCCATCCGATCTCACGGCTACTTTAACATCTAAGAAGGACAACGACCTGTCTGTCTCCATTTCATATGTAAACCTCATTTTGGGGTGAATAGAGTTCAGATGTTGTATATATTGATCCACTTCTTGTTTGTTTCCTTTGACGATACTGAAGATGTCATCCACGTATCGCTTCCATAGCTTAACGGTATTCGGGCCGAGATTTAAAGCCTTCTCTTCAAAATGTTCCATCCAGATGTTGGCCAGTACTGGGGCTACAGGACTTCCCATCGCGACACCATCAATCTGGAGGTAATGTTGACCTTGGAAAAGGAAATAGTTGCCTTCTAAACAGTGTTCAAGTAGATCCATATAGTTTATGGGCAGCTCGTTGTCTCTCATTTATTGGAACATTGGTGAAAAGCGACTCCACGTCAAAGCTCACCATGACGTCATCCGGTTCCAACGTCAGATCTTTTATGATTTGTATGAAGTGCCGTGAGTCTTTCACAAAAGACGGTGTTTTGCCTATAAGTGGTTGCAATACTGAAGCAACGTGCTTTGCTAGATCGTAAGTAGGAGAAGCAATTTGACTTACAATCGGCCGCAGCGGTACGTCAGGCTTGTGTATCTTAGGCAGACCATATAATTTCGGTGGCTGGTGTGACTTTGGTTTGTACAGTCTGTTGTACTCGTCTTCTGAAAATAGGTCCTCATTGTCCCGGATTAGAGATCGTATTTTTCGCGTTACTCTGGCCGTGGGGTTGTATGTTACCGGTTTATAAACCTTATTATCACTCAACAGTTCAAGTATTTTGCTTTTGTAATCAGTTGTATTCATCACTACGGTAGCGTTTCCCTTGTCGGCCTTAAGCACTAAAATATCCTGGTTATCCCTAATGTTTTTTAGTGCTTGACGCTCTTCGATAGTGATATTACTAGCCGGAAGCTTTGACCGACGTAATATTACCGCAACGTCCTGTCTTAGGATATCGGCATCGCCGGGCGGTACTTTGTTCCGTGTAATCGATTCCTCGACGCTACTGATTACATTCTCGAACGGTATTCGTTTAGGTGTCGGAGCGAAGTTCATACCTTTAGCCAAGATGTTCATTGTTGTATCATCTAAACTCACGTTTGACAAGTTTACAACGGTGTCCTTCGATCTCTCGGGTACCCCGGGTGACGCTTTATTTTCTGTATACCGTCGATTATATTCCTTCGAGAACTTTCGATCAAAATTTTTACTACATAACTCGAAGGTACGACTCGCTTGTAAAAACATAAAACTTAAAAAGCATAAAACTTTCAATCGGGAAGATGGTTTTAAATTATCTACAGCGTGGAATCCAGTGTTAAAAAACATACCACCTCGCTTTTCTGCGCAATCGGTTAAACACCAGAATAGGGACTCATCGGTTTGCTTACAGAATAGGGACACTGTTAGTGTGGTATGTGACGGTACATGGCGACACAAAAATAATATCGAAAATGTGCGGGTAGATGAAGAGCCTTCTACTTCACGGATTCGACGACGGAGGGCGTGCGCCGATGAGCCAGTCAGCCTGTGACCACGGCCGGTGCAACCTGGTCGAAACGTCAGGCAAACCAGAGGTATGTAATACCCTAAATAAGAGATCGCGTTAATTCCCGTTAAATAATATAAATTTTATATTTCATGAAACTAACTACGTTTCATGACATATAAAATTTTCATTTACTAGTTGTTTCCCGCCGATTTACCAGCTTTAAATTCCCATTATTTATTATTTTCAGTTTATTTACTATCTAACTTTTGCCCGCAACTCCACTGGCGTGTATAGTAGCACACGTACATATGTACGTTTTACCGCGATACGCGAGTTCGCCGACAATGTAGCCTTATATTGGTGACAGAATTTTTATAATCGGTTTAGTAGTTTAGGCGTGAAAGGTACTTGGTGAAGGCTACTTAAATTGTACATGTGATGTACAATTTAAGTATATTTTTGAAGTATTTGCATTACAAAAATATAAAAAGTACATTTTCATACTACGACCCATAGAAGCTGATCAGAGCTTCAATGGGTCGTAGTGTATGAAAATAAAATGTATAACACATGACATTTTCATAACAATTAAAACTATTGGCTTTTATAATACTATAAACAAACTTTGTATTGAAACAAGAGACATTCTTTTGATAGACTTATCTATGATTACATATTTTGCTCTTTTTACTTTTCTGCACTCTATTGTACCATCCGAATTAGCCAACTTTAAACGATATCGATACATTTTTTCACATCGTATAAATCAACTCGTTTACGATTGTACATGTACATATACATACTACTTAAACGGCCGGTATTGTACCGGCTGTTTAAGTTGAGGTAAATATTTGCATATATACAATCGAGGCAGTCGGAGTTCAATCAGAGCCGCTTTGTGTGCAAGACAAGACAAAGAGAGAAAGCTGACCCGACGTTCTGGTAGTGAAGTGTTTGGTTTGTAGATGGAACAACAGCCGTATTAGTTACATGATAGTGTTTCGGTAGCAGACTCGAGTTCGAATTTGAGCTAGCTTTGAAAATACCTTTAATGTTCAAATGTTAATATGATATTAGAGGTATACCAAATATAAAATATTAGTAAGCCAGGCAGCTAAATTCAGTGCTCAGCTCAGCAGCTCGCCATCCGTGCTATCAAATATCATATCATTTTCTCATACATTGCGTGTGTCACAAAATACGGATGCAGTGCAGAGCTACGCCTACACCGCGAGTGAAACTGCGAGGAAATGCTAGCCTTTTCATGAGGAAGTGATTCCCTGTATACTTAAGTCAGTCAGTTAGTAAGTAAGTCAATCAGTCAGTAAACAAGTTGGAACATTTTTTTATTAATGGTAGGACCCGCGCTGTTACGGGCAGGCTCTAGGAGGGGTCTGGATGTCTTAATAACAGCTGTGCCCGGATTCTTCCTATTTCGGGTGCAAGGAGGCACGCTGTATGGTTTTAGTCAGTTCGATTATGACACACCATCCTGCCGTAAAACCCCGGGTTCCACACGTTAGAAAAGGCCCAAATCCTTTTCCAGCGTTCCAGGTGTTCATGGACTGCAAAAACCTATAGCTGTTGCATCGCTAACAAGAACCGGTTTATGGTTTTGATAAAGATAAGTTACTCTTAAAAGCCATTTAAATAAAATTTGCCCTCCCTTTTCGATTAGATAGTGACGTAATTAAGCTGGCAACTCACGTACAAAATAAATAAACATCTAACGTAACTAGTAACCGTCTTAGTTGTACAAGTAGATGAAGGGCTTAATTTATGTAGTCCTTACTATTTGCTGAGAAGACGACGCAAGGGATCGCTGCTAATTACACGGATACTGATATCGTGAGGCAAATAAAATGAAAATTGAAACAAGATTGACAGCAACTTCTGAGCATCGAAAACATCATTACAACAAAAAGTTTAACTACCTCATAGCCTGTAAGGTAGCAGATTTCCTATGATTCGTGTTCCTACCTATTACGTAATATTCGTTACAGATATAAGACATTTGATAATCATATGATGAAATGATTAGTTTTAGTCACTGTGATTTCACCTGTGATACATCACTACTAGGATATGGTCATAGACAAAGATACATGCCAGAAAACTTACGCGAAGAAATAGCTAAAATTTTCATCAAAGACTTACGACCGTTTTTATTCAGCTGTGATTATATATGATTAATATGTAATATGTAATTGTGATTTTATTCCATCCCTAGCCATCTAGTTTCTAACTAAGCAGAGCACTGATAAACATACTTATCTATATATATAAAAGAAAGTCGTGTTAGTTACACTATTTATAACTCAAGAACGGCTTTACCGATATGGCTGAAAATTAGTGGGGAGGTAGCTTAGAGCCAGGAGACGGACATAGGATACTATTTATTCCGTTCGACAGTGTTTTTTTTTTTTGTTTTTTTACGAACTTTGCTTTACTCCGAGATGCCACGTTTTTATACTTGGAAGGCTTCGAATTTTCAAAGACGGAAGCAAGGCGATGCGGTTCCTGGGTATCCGGATGTGCGTTCTACTGATGCTCTTGGTCGTATGTATACAGTTCATCCAAAGAATGATGAATGTTTCTATTTGCGGTTGTTGCCGGTAAATGTGCGTGGGCCAACTTCATTTGAGACACTACGGACTGTTAATGGTGTCATATTCCCAACATATCGTGCTGCATGTGAAGAACTGAACTTATTAGAAAACGATACCCATTGGGATACGACAATTGAAAGATTTACGGAATGACTCGAGATGTTCTGGAGGAGCAATGATTTTACTGTCTGGCGATTTCCGCCAAACACTGCCAGTAATTCTAAGATCTACGGCTGCCGACTAAATAAACGCTTACCTCAAATCGTCGAATCTATGGCGCTATGTGAAGAAACTGCAGCTGACAACAAACATGAGAGTTGCATTGCTTAATGATACATCTACTGAAGATTTCTCTGAGCAATTGCTGACTATCGGTAATGGTCAAGTACCTGTCGATGAATCGAGCGGATTGATATCATTTCCAAATAATTTCTGTAATTTTGTCTCATCAAAAGACGAACTTATCAACAATGTATTTAAAGACATTATTTCTAACTACAAAAATAATGAATGGTTGAGTGAGCGAGCAATTTTAGCGGCTAAGAATAAAGATGTAGACGACCTGAACTATATAATTCAAAATAAGATCATTGAAACAATGCATTCATTCAAATCTATTGACTGCGTCACAAATGAAGATGAAGCCACCAACTATCCAATTAAATTTTTGAACTCCTTGGATGTGCCTGGCTTACCACCGCACAATTTACGCCTAAAGGTTGGCTCCGTAGTAATCATGCTTCGAAACATAAACCAACCAAAACTGTACAACGGTACGCGTACGTTGGTTAGAAAATTGATGAAAATTCAAAGGTGAGGAAGTTCTCATTCCGAGGATCCCGATGATCCCAACCGATTTGCCGTTTGAATTTAAAAGTCTTCAATTGCCGATCCGTCTTGCATTTTCCATGACCATCAAAAAATCACAATGAATTTGAATCTAGAACATCCATGTTTTTCCCATGGTCAATTATATGTGGCATGTTCACGGGTTGCAAGACCATCTGCGTTGTTTGTTTTTGCGCCTGATAAGAAAACAAAAAATGTCGTGTATCACAAGGTACTTAAGTGAAGAGCAACCTATGTACTGAAATGCAGAAACAATAATAAATGATTAATGTACTTCATTTTTTTTTCTAGGAAAAAAATTAACTTACTAAATTCGAAAATCGGCTTATTTATTGCCTTTAAGGCGGAACAGAGTTCGCCGGGTCAGCTAGTAGATTTCTAAATACTTACACACATAGATAAATTACACCTAAACACGTAATAATGATCGTCTTCATCAAACCCTCGGCTTGGCAATCATATCAGTAGTTTCACTCATTTTCAAGTCTTACTTAGTCCTTCTCCTCCTCCTCCTCCTTGTGTTGTTATCCTCAATTCTGAGGCTCATGATACCTATTTAGAGCCATTCTGCGAGTGATAGCTTGCTACCCGTTCCTGTCTTGAGCAGTGTGTAGGACAGTATGGATCGTAGTGCCGAGTGTAGAGCAAACTTGGTCTGACTAGCACAACGGACCTCGGCCTCTGGGTCTTTTTGCTTTGATCTTGCCAGTCACCATCAGCCTTTCAAGGTTGTCGCTTTCCCTTTTCGCAATGTGACCAAAATATTCGAGGATTCGGCGGGAGCATAGGTAGCACAGCATAATATGTCTGGCCAGCATAATATGGTTAGCCAAACCTCATTTGTAAGGGCCTAAGTGGCCTATCCCCAGCAGTGGACTAATAAAGGCTGTTGATGATGATAATGATGATGATAACTTCGTATTCTGGGACGCCCATAGCTAACACAAATATTTTTATAGACCGACACTAGTTAAGGCAAAGTTATAAAACCGCTACAGTCATCCAAGTTATTTTATGAGTACGATAGCATTTGTATAAAATATTCAACTACTTCACAAAGCGTTAGTATTTTTGTTTTTGTCTTTATGTATCATCTTCTTAAAGTATATCAGTAGGAAAGAACTCATTGCTCGTTACTTCACAGGTAGGTACCGTGAAAGTCGAACCCATGATGTCATGTTCATACAAGGAAACCTCTTTTTAGGATAGGATCTTTATTTTCTAGGCCATGTTCAAAAATATTATTCGCACTATCGTCTGTCTTCGTTTTCAGGTTGTCCTCTTAAAACCCTATATACTCGTATTCATCAATAGGTAGCGATATTGTCTTGATTACATAGTAAATACTATTTTAGAAGATTCTACTTAACCAAATTTTATTGAAACAATTGATTTTGTATAGAATATCTTGGTAAAAAAATGAACCAGTCGTCCTTCCGTTGTTATTAGGATTCAGTCAGAGTTCCAATAAGCCACACAGAAGTTTTTTTGCAGACATAAATTGTGTGCAGCCGGCTGCGTTGAATATTCACTATGATAATAGACTAGGAAAATGTTGGTAGTCGTATTATTGTGGACTATATTTTAAATAGATAAAGGTTTAGTTTGTTTTGTAAGTTTTGTATAGTTATATCATTTTATATGATAATAAATTTCACTTGAAGAATAGAGATAAAAGTGATTAAAAACTTTTTTCATTATTTTTTAGTTTCGTTTTTTTTTTAACTTCATGAAAAGAGAAAATTCAATAAATATTTCTTTAGGGGTATATAGGCTTGTTATTTTTATTTACTTTTTTATGGTATAAGGAGGCAAATGAACATATGGGTCACCTCATGGTAAGTGACTAATGCCGGCCATAGACACCTGTAATTAAAAACTTACATTACATTACAAGTACATTGGAGGCAATGACGGCCGTGTGTGAAATGTGTGTCTAAAGGAGGCTTTAGACACACATTTCACACACGGCCGTTATAGATGAAGTACACTCAGACACAGACAGTTCTCCCATTTGTTCATTTTTTATAGGCCGTGCTCATCACACAATTATTTGTTCTGTTAAATGTCTCAGAATATGAGAATAAGTATAAATAAATTAAAGAATTAAATTATAACAAGAATAGTTATTTAATAGTCTGAACAGTATACTTATTATTTATCGAACACATCCAAAGAAATATTCTAAATTTAAATCAATATTAGAAAAACACTATAATTTTAATAGCTGGATATAAATTTAAAAAAGAAGGTTTCAATGAAACGACTCAATGAAACCAGTGTGGCTCGTCGCAGCGTTGATAATGGCAGCCATTGTTCTCGACCAACTGAGCTGGTGCAGATGCAATCCTTTCAAATAAAATGGATAACTAACTAGTAGTCTAAAGCATATATAACAGTTATTTTCATAGTAAGAGGTAAGTCTTTATTCTGGTGTAGTAATACAATAATTTAATTGGGATTAAGAGTAAAATATTTATTTATAATATAAGCCAGGTCCCTAACTTGAAATTATATAAGGTTTAAACGATTAAGTACTTCATTTTTTTTCAAAGAATTTTGTACGAAAATTTTAAAATAGTTCCATTTTCCAAGTTAGACACGTAGAACAAAAGCTCTAAAGCTAACATACCAAACTTACCTCTAGTTTAGCTGATGATGGTGGGAGATACTTGACACTACTACAAGCTAATATATTGGTACGTCCGGCCTGGTCCATCGGAACTCCAGGTATTTTCTAAGTTTCAAAACAGCATGTGGTTTTTAGTCAGCTCGAGTCCAACAATACTATCGCACACGTCGTCCGAGTGAATCTCCGCTCAAAAAGGGGAACACTTGACACAAACAAAACTTAGCAATTTTCAATTTAAACTAGAAACATAACCTTGACAATTCTCAATATTTTTAAAATACATATTTAACTATACTTCACACTCTAGAAATCCCCACTTTAGATGTACGTGTGCATTTAATTAAGAACGTTTTTGTATGACATAAATATCTGAATATCGCTTAACTGAAATTAACAAAAAGTATATTCATTAGACAAATAGCTGTATATTTGTCTAACGAACAACAAAATATTATTTAGTTCCACTACATTGAATTTTGGAATTTTTTTTTGCATCACTGTAAGGCTCCCCCACTAATCGGTTTAGTCCTTATGAGCACGTAACGTCTAGATTGCACCTTGACTTCATCAGATCACTAACCTTTCTCCTACCTTAGCTCCTAATCAGTCACCAGATTTCTCCATATTTCTGGATATTACCACCGACGTCTCCTACTTTCGGACCTCTCTTGATCCCGTTCAGAGGTCTCCTTCAGGGCCATAACAACTTCACAGGAAGATACCACTACGTCCTAGACCTCCTCACCTGCCAGCACGGCAGTAATGATAGCCGGTGGGTACAGCTTTCGTTCGATTCGATCAACCAGGACCTCGCCCTCGACCTCGCAGTTAAGACGCCCATGCCTTCTCCAGCGTAAGCTGGGCGGAGTCAAAGACTTTGGAATATCTACGAAATTACTTCTTAAGCAATATTGAATTTCTATACAATTTTATTTATAATTTATTATCAAAGTTTCAAATTACCTAATAGAACTAATTGATTAGTTATTTCCCTTGGGAAATAATGTAGGGGTTGCTCCGGCTTACTTTGTGGAATTACTTTTAATAATTAATTAAATTATATTAGTCTAGACACTGAAAATTATTTTTGCGTTAGCACAGATAGGGTAAGTCATTGGAGAACAATCAGTTACGGCATACTGACTAAGGCTTACAATAAAAATAAAAACGTAAAAGCACCTTATTGGTACATCTTTTTTTCTGACTCTACCACTGCTAAGCTTTTCATTTAACTGATGAGTGAGGATATCAAAGGAACAACTTCTAATTCTGTGAAGTGCTAGAGGTAAAGGGCGACAATACACTAATGCCTCTAGAGCTTTGGGTGTCCATGCTCGTTTGTCTTCAATATAAAATATTTGAGTTGAAAGAACAATAATTATATTCTAGAAATGTGTAAGAAGTGTTAAAAAGTACTGAAGTAGAGTTTTCTCCGTGTAGGTTCTGAGAAAACGACGTTAATACAATCTTGCATTACAATACCTCAATCTATATATTCTCAGTATTTCAATGATTCAGTTTGAGAGTATATCGGTCAAACGGGCTCTGCGACACCGGTAATATCCAGGATTTCTACTCTGCACCTCAGTTGTCTTTAATAACGAAAATATTATACTTTACTGCCTTTGTTAAGGGTCTCCCTGGTATAACGTGCAATTTTCTCTCACATGCTTCTCTAAAAGTTGAAATAGGTCGTAAAAGCTATTACTTTTTACAAAGTCGCTTTTTTAATATTAGAAACTGTAGTCGCAGTACATCTTTTATTCGAGTACAATTTTAAATCGTGAATAAAACGTATCTGGTTCAATATTCATAACAGGTAGTATAATGCGTTTGATGTAGAGGGTAAGAAATACAAGAATAAAGTAATAAACCCTAGTTTTACAGATTTAAGGTACTATTTTTACTGACGTCCTATCATTTTTATATCTCCGTTTTATTTACATCCCTTTACGAGGGAGGTCTGAAAAGTTTCCGACCTAACAAAGATACATGTTTTCAGTTTATTTTTTTTATTTTTCAACATAGTTTCTTTGTAACTCTACACACTTCTCCCAGCGATGCTCCCATATCTGTAACCCGTCCAAATAGTACTCGCCGTTTTTCACTGCAAAATAATTGCTCACGAAAGTGATTGCCTCTTCATTTGACGAAAATCTTTGTCCTCCGAGCGCAATTTTTGGCTTGGGGCTAGATCTGTTGAGTAAGGCGAATACTCAAGCAGTTCAAAGCGCAATTCGTGGATTTTCGCCATGGCTACCGCTGAGGTGTGAGACGGTGCGTTGTCTTGGTGAAACAGGATTTTCTTTTTCCGCAAGTTCCGCCTTCAGCTTGTC